GGGGGGAGGAGGGGGGGGGGAGGAGGAGGGGGAGGGGGAGGGGGGGGAGGGGAGGGGAGGGGAGGGAGGGGGGGAGGGGAGGGGAAGGGAGGGAGGAGGGAGCAGGAGGATCATTTTTCCAGTGCGCCGCGCGTGAGCAGGCTCCACGGGCGCCCGACCCAGAGAGGGGCGCGGGGTCTGCGCCCGCCGGCTTGAACCAAAATGCCTCCTGCAAGTAGTCCGAGGAGGTCCGGGAGCCGTTCCACACGCAGATGAATTCCTCCGACCGCCCGACCTTCTTCACGATAACTAGATGAAGCCCAACCTGCGGAGCACAGCCAACCTGGAAGGCCCAAGCGAGGCCAGCTGCTCCTCCGTTTAAGTGTGTGGGGGCCCCCTGTACCCCAAGCCGCTGCCGTGGGAATCGCTGCCCAGGGAGTCGCCATCCGCCACAAGGCCACAATGCTTGGGGGAGCCCACGCAGATGCCGCCCTCGCCGTTGTGAGAGGCGCTCAACCTACGTAGGTGAAGCAACCTCAACCTCATCCTGGTCAAGGCGAAGCAACCTCAACCTCAACCTCATCGTCCGCCCCCTCCTGACGCAGGTGAAGCAACCTCAACCTCATCCTGGTCAAGGTTGGGCTCGCTGTAGTTCTCCCCGGGCCCGTCGAAGTGGGGCGGCGCGCCGAGGAAGCCGCCGTCGGGCTCGAAGTGGCCCTCGGAGATGTTCGGCATGAAGTTGCCCTCCAAGGTCTTGGGCAAGGCGCCCTCGGAGATGTCGAAGATGATGGGCAAAGCGCCCTCGGGGATGTCGAGCTTGTCGGCCTTGGTGTACGTAGCCGGTGTCCGACTCCGTGAAGTCCGCTGTGTCGGTTTGCTGGTTGGAGTCCTTCTCAAGCGTGCACGGAACCATTGCATCGTAAATGGTCTCGGCTTCAACGTTGTCACCAACATCTATAGCCTTGATGATCGTAGGACGCCTGGGCTTACTCCCCTCGAATTGTAAGACCGAAGATGCGCCAGGCGTGACATTCAACGAAGCCTTGCCGAAAGTGGTGGGCTCCTCTCCTTCTTCATTTGCAGGGGCAGCGGCAGCGGCTGCAGCGTCACAAGAGTCCCGCCGATCTTCATGAGGACCGCCGCTCCCGTGGATGCAGAGCACTCCGCAGGAGCCGTCGAGCGCGTCGAACTGGTTGAGCTCTGTCCGCCTCGAGGAGCTTGCGAAGACGACGGGCACGACTGGGAGGCCGTCTCGGAGAGGCCGTTCATGTAGAGCGCCCTGAGCATCTTGTACTTCAGCCTCCTCTTGTTGTTATTCTTGGCAGTGGGCGTGATCTTCATGCCGTTTTCCTCATTATTCTTCTTGTTCTTGGTGCTCTGGTCCAGCGTCATTAGGCCAGGCGTTTTTGTGTGCCAGCGCCTCAGCTTCTTGACGGGCTGCAGCGGCGGTGTGGGTGGCGCCGGGATCGTGCCCTTGATCGGCTCCTTCGAGGTGAGCACCAGGGTGTCGGCGTCCAGGAGGAGAAGGAGGTGTATAATCAGGAGGAGGAGGCGGAGGAGGAGCAGGAGGGGGAGGAGGATGAGGAGTAGGAGGAGGACGAGGAGGAGGAGGGAGGAGGAGGAGGCAGATAATCAGGAGGAGGAGGAGGAGGAGGTGGAGGGAGGAGTGCCGAGGAGGACATGGTGTGATTCAACGCGCGGTATTGGGCGGCGATTTTAACGAGCGGGTCGGGCGGACGGGCTCCAACGGGCGAATCGGGCGGACGGGCCTTGCCAGGCGGGGCGGGCGGGCCCTGAAGTGAGCGGGCTTGCTTCAAGCGAGCGACCGGGCGGACCCTGCCGGGTGTGTCGGGTGGGCGGACCTCCCTGCCCCCTGCCATCGATTCTCTGCCACTGCTGCCGCTCCTCCCGCTCTCTCGCACGGAACCTGTGGCCAGGCCTGGTCGCGTCTCAGGACGCAATGTCCACCACAAGCAGAGCAGAGGAGAAGGGGTGGCACGGCCTCGGGCTGCGCACAGGCAGCTCTCAGAGGTATTCAGTCCAGTTCGGCCTTGGCAGGTTCCCAGCGCAGCCCTGGGCTGCCTCAGCATCTGCCCTCTGGGCTGATGCGGTGTCGAGACCGCCCTAGGGACTACCCTCGGGGCCCGAGGCCCAGGCCTCCTCAATGAGCCACGGACATGCCTTACGCCAGTGGCGCACCGGCGCCTCCTACCCCAGGCCTCTCAGATGCGTCCAGAGCAGATGATGTCGAAGGATGGCCCCACATCGCCGATGCATCGGCGACGCGGCCGCATCTAGAACCCAGGGTTCTGTCTGGCTTGACGCGTCGCCGATGCAACGCTGGAGCATCAGCAACGAGGCGGGTAGGAGGGAGGGGGCCCCAAGATTTCTCACAGCGCTTTGTGGGGGAGGCAAGTCGATGGAGGGCCGGCCCCGCGCGAGGCTGATGAGCGCGCTGTTCACGCTGCGGAGGTCGAACGATCCCCGTCCAGAAGAGCTTTCGCTGTGGCCGCACCTCCAAGTCCCAGAGTGATGTTCCAGGAGGGGGCAAACGAGACATCTGGCGTCTCGAACGGCCCTCTCGCAGGCCCATGTACATCACGCACGATTTCGTGTGGAGGTGTGCCTCCTACACGAGTCGTGGTTTTCCGAGCCTTGCCCGTTACGTTATCTCTTTTCCACGCCGCCTCCAGAATGTATTATGTGACGCACGCATCTTCATGTTCCATAGCGCCAGTTACCAGCTCGCCCAAACCCCTTTTTGTGCGGGGTCCGCGGCGCGTGCGGGCGCCGGGGCCGGCGATGATGAGGACCTGCTCGCGCCGTTGCAGCCGCCGCCGTAGCCGCCGACGCCGTCGCCACCGTCTCCCAGAGCGAAGGGCCCACAACGGACTTTCAGAGCCCCGAATCATCAGGGGTAACTCGGGTCAGGGCTAACTTGGGTTCGTTTTTCGGGAGTCCGAACACGAGTTATCCTGGACCCGAGTTACCCCGGATATTTCGGGCGTCCAGAGCCCCGAATCATCAGGGGTAACTCGGGTCAGGGTTAACTCGGGTTCGTTTTTCGGGAACCCAAACCCGAGTTACCCCGGACCCGAGTTACCCCGGATAACTCGGGCGTCCAAGACTTGATGGTCGACTCCTGTCGCTGCCGTCGTCGTCGTCGTCGTCGTCGTCGTCGTCAGAGCCCGTCGGACTCGAGGGTCGAGGGTCGAGGTCTCTGTTGGGGCGGCTCTGCCCATCTTGGGGCCTCCCGGAGGGCCTCTGGGGACCTCCGGGGGCCGCCGCGGATCTCTGGGGGCCGTCAGAGGAGGTCGTCGCCGCCCCCGCCGCCGTCGTCGCCGCATTCGCCAGTGAGTCGCTGTCGCCGTCGCCGCCGTCGCTGCCGTCGTCGTCGTCGTCGGCGTCGTCATCGTCGGTCTTGGTCGAGGACCGAGGATGCGTGGCGCTTTTGAGGCCCTCGGGGCCCTCCTTGGGCCAAAAGATGCACGACAAATGCCTGAAGGGCGCACGTTTCCTCACCCCCCTGTGTATCACCCTTCCACTTAGCAGCGCCCAGGGGAGGTATTCGTCGTCGCCGTCGCCATTGCATTCCCCCCCCCCACCCCCACCCCTGCGTGGTCTCTTTCTGCCCTCTCCCGTCTTCTCCTCCGTCCCCGTCTTCCCTCTCCAACTCCTCCCCTCCTGCCCTTCCCTCCAGCCCTAGTTCTACCACGTGTTTTCTTCTCCCAGCCCCCCTCCTGCGAATGTCTCTCGTGCTCCATCCTTCTCCCTCTGTTTTAGGGGCTGCGCTACATGCACGTGGCAGGTAAGGGAGATATACCTCCAAGGGGGTACGATCGAAGACGAAGAGGTCGAGTACCGAGGCCTTGGGACATACGTGTTGAAAGGCACGCCAGCACATAGGAGCGAGCAGTTTTAAACATTATATATATATATATACATATATATACACATGTAGTTGTTGTGGTCGAACTCTCATTTCTGAAGAATAATTATTGTTGATCCCCCCTCACCGGTGCATATTGTTTTTCTCAATCAAAGTGTGCCCCTCGACGCTCGCACCCTGTTTTTTGACATGGAAAGTCTTGATGCTCAAACTGCGCTCCTGGCCCCCAGGTTACAACAACAAAGGCTCCCGCTTTATAATTTCTTACAGTTTAGCAAGGACCCCCGCTCCCGCCCGAGACTTCCCTGCATTTTATTCAGAAATCGCGCTCTCGCTAGGGACTTCTTTACAATTTATTCAGGAATCGCTCTCCCTGCGCTCTGGAGTCGCGCTCTCGCTGGAGACTTGCTTACAATTTACTGACGAACAGCGCCTTGCGTTGGAATTTCGTGCAATTTACTTAAGCGCCGCGCTCCCGACGCCCAGGCACCCAGGAGTCGCGCTCACGCTTAGGACTCCCTCACAGATTACCTAGGAATCGGGATCTCGCTGCCCTTCGTGGCCCCGTTGCAGCCCTTCGTGGCCCCCTTGTTTTGTTTCGTGGCCCCGTTGCAGCCCTTCGTGGCCCCCTCGCTGCCCTTCGTGGCCCCGTTGCAGCCCTTCGTGGCCCCCTCGCTGCCCTTCGTGGCACCATATATGTATGCCCTTCGTGGCCCCCGCTCGTTCGCGCCAGTTGTGGCCCCATGTGCGTGCCCTTTGTGTCCCCGCTGTCGCCCTTCGTGGCCCCCTCGCTGCCCTTCGTGGCCCCGTTGCTGCCCTCAGTGGCCCCGTCCTTGCGTTCCGCGGCTCAACATACGTATGCCCTTCGTGGCCCCCGCTCGTTCGCGCCCGTTGTGGCCCCATGTGCGTGCCCTTCGTGGCCCCGCTGGCGCCGTTTGTGGCCCCGTCACTGTCCTACGTGGCCCCGTTGCTACCCTCAGTGGCCCCATCGTTGCCGCGTTGCCTTCTGTGGCCCCGCATTATCTGCCCTTCGTGGCCTCCGCTCGTTCGCGCTCTTCGTGGCCCCATACGCATTCTCTTCGTGTCCCCGCTGTCGCCCTTCGTGGCCTACTTCGTGTCCTTCGTGGCCCTGCTGTCGTTCTCTCGCTCTCGCTTTCGCTCGTCGTCGTCGTCCCCGTCGCCGTGGAGGAGATGAGGGAGGAGGTGGCTCAGTTTTACCATGGCTTATTCAATGACCAGAACTCTTTGAATGAGACCTTGCCCACTTGGATTTGGCAGCAGTGGCCGAGGGAGGCAGCCGCGAACCTCCCACACCAGTTTGATGCCGCCCTTCTCCGTAGGTGTCTGGCCCGCATGAAGCCAGGCAGGTCTTGTGGTCGGGACGATAGCGTCGTAGCTGAGATGTTGCAGGAGTCGAACAGTGAGGCTTTAGACCTGCTCGGCGAGATTTTTACTGAGATTGCTGAGCCACCCGGGCGAGCAGCATGATAAGACCTGTTCACGTCACCAGGTGTCCTTGGTGGCCAAGTTCTGGGGTGCCTGTAGAGTTTTAAATTTCAGACCTATCGCGATTCTGCCCAGCGTTCCCACACATTATTCGATGTGTGTGGGGGCCCTTGTCGACTTCCACGGCCAGCCCTTCTCCCAGGCCCAATTCGCTTTCAGAAAAGGCTTTCAGGTCCACGAGGTGGTGTCTACTACACGTCTTCTGATGGAAAAAGCCAGGGAATTCCAGGATCATTTATATATGGGGGTTGGTGACTTTCACAAAGCTTATGATCACGTCCCTCACGCCCTCATTATTCGAAATCATCGGCGACGCGGTATCCCACGAATTGTCACGGCAGCTTGGCTTCGCGAGATTCGAGGGAGTGTCTCAGAGATGCTCCTCCCAAGACTTCCCCCCTTTCGAGGCCTGTATCACGCAGCCGCTCTCTTTTACAGGGCGGCCCTGAGGCACCGTTCCAATTCTCTCTCTTCGCGGATGACGCGGTCCGCGAGTTTGAAGACCGTTGTGCCCGAGAAGGCGGGGGATACCCTCTACAGGCGGAGGACTTAGAGATCATGCAACAAAACAAGAGACGTCGGGAGGACTTGAATATTGACCGCCTCAGCCTGCTCCTGTTTGCAGATAATTATTTTGTTTGCGCATCCTCCCCCGCCATGCTTACCCAGATGATGGAGGCTTGGCACTTCATCCTGCGCCGCCGCTATCATGTAGCCATCAAGCACCACGAGTGTTTTTGGATCACGACGGCGGGTAATGCCAACTCAGCTGTGATCACGCTCTCGGGGAGAAGGGTGACACGGATACCGTGGGAGGAGGTGTTCAATATGCTGGGAGTTCATGTTTCTTTCGACGGCAGTGCGAGCGCGGCCGTCCAGAAGGGTATTGCACATGCGTGGTCCTGTTTTGCAAAGAACAAAACCCCCTTATGTGCGAGGCGTGCTCCCTTGGGGAAAAGGATATCTCTTTTAGACAGCACCGTCAAGGCCGCCGCTTTTCATTGTTTCGGTTCTCTGCTGCTCACGAGAGTTCACCTGGCTCAGATCCGTGCTGCCCAGTATAGAATGCTCCGCTACATGATCCGCGTATCCAAGGATGACCAGGAGGGGTGGGGGACTACATGAAGAAAACCCACCGTCGTATTCGAGGGGCCCTGGAGAAAAATGGATCGATCCCCTGGGACCACCATGTTCTTTTACTGAACTACTCCTGGGCAGGACATATCATGCGTCTGGAACATTATGATAAACAGCGTATCGTTTTCAAAGCTTGCCAATATAAGAATTACGAGTGCTTCTCTCGCCCCAAAGAGTTGATCGGATCCCAGGGCCACCAGCGTAAGTTCCACGTCTGGCGTTGGGAAAAGCAGTTCTACCAGTATTTCGAGACCCCGCTGTGGAAACACCGCACCCAGATCCTCGAGGATTGGCAGACGTCTTCCGCGGCTTGGCTGGACTGTCGCCTCAAGGACATGGGATGTTCAAAGGAGAGACGTAGGAAAGGGGGGTGGGGTGACAGTTGGGTGTACTTACAGATGGCCGAATTCACCCGGCTTCAAGCGTCTTTACATTAATCCTCTCGCGTCAGTCTGCTGCTGTGCTCGCCCCAGCCTATTTTCACAATTTCTAGCGTGCCAGTGTCGGCTAGGGCCCTGGTGCTACCGATTGAATGCCGAGAGTAAGTAAGTCGCCGTCGTCGTCGTCGTCGTCGTCGTCGTCGTCGTCGTCGTCGTCGTCGTCGACGTCATCGTCGTCGTCGTCGTGGTCGGTCCCTTGTCCGTCCCTCTTGGGGTCGGGTCGACGGTCCGCGGCCGCCCCGCCGATCAGCGCTGCTGCTGTCCAGGCCGACGGTCCGCGGCCGCCCCGCCGCTTGCCGGGGCCCGGCCTGCATGGGGAGAACGGTATACCCCCCAAAAGAGGATCGATCGAAGACGAAGATGGCGGGTATCGAGGGTTTGGGAAATACGCGTTACTAGACACTCGAGCAGATAAGGGCGAACAGTCTTAAATTGTTAGTTGTTGTTGTTTGGTTGTTGTTGTTGTTGATCTTGTTATTGTTGTTGTTGTTGTTGCTGTTGTTGTTGTCGTTGTTGTTGTTGTTGTGCTTGTGGTTGTTGTTGTATTTG